TCATCAAAAGACTTGCTGTAAATCAATATATCATCAAAGTAAACTACCACAAAATGACCAATAAAATCTCTTAAAACCTCATTCATGAAGCGCATGAAAGTGCTAGGTGCATTAGTCAAACCAAAAGGCATTACTAACCACTCATACAACCCGAATTTGGTTTTAAACGCAATTTTCCATTCATCTCCAAGTTTCATTCTAATTTGATGGTAGCCACTACGCAAGTCAATCTTGGTGAAAATTATAGAACCACACAACTCATCAACCATGTTGTCTAGCCTAGGAATAGGATGATGACACCGAATAGTAATATTATTGATGGCTCTACAATCAACACACATACGCCAAGTTCCATCTTTCTTAGGAACCAAAAGTACAGGAACGACACAAGGACTAAGGCTTTCACGTACATACCCGTGGTCCAAAAGGTTGGGATTGGTTCGATAGGCAGCACGGTTGGGCAAGGTTGCTCTCGGAATCAAATCGATTTGATGCTCTATCCCTCTCATAGGTGGGAGCCCCGGGGGTATCTCAGCTGGAAAAATGTCCTCATACTCTTGCAAAAGGTTAGTGACAGCAGGAGGCACCGAGCTAACAATATCATCAAGCAAAAACATAGCTCGTTTGCATACCAAAGCATAGCAAATATCATCATTAGAAATTTCAGCAAAGTCACATTTTGTTGCAAGCATAACACCACCCTTCAATTTAATCCCCTCATCCTTAGAATTAGGTGTAGACTTATCCTTTTTAGGTGGGAGAATGGAATTAACAACTTGCTGATTTTCAGATTGAACATCTTTCAAACTAGCAGCTCTTTCTTTATCAGCTTGTACAATTTGAGCAGGGGTCAAAGGTACCAAAGTAATTTTCTTTCCTTTATGCACAAAAGTGTATTTGTTACTTCTACCATGGTGTGTAGCATCATTATCATGTTCCCAAGGACGACCCAATAAAAGTGAACAAGATTGCATAGGTACCACATCACAATCAACAGAATCAGCATAAGAACCAATAGAAAATGATACTCTGCAAGTTTGTGTTACCTTTGCTTTACCTGAATCATTTAGCCACTGAATATGGTATGGACGTGGGTGTGGGCGTGTGGTCAAGCCAAGCTTCTTGACCAAATCAGAACTCACCAAATTATTGCAGCTACCTCCATCAATAATGACACGTGCTCGATGGTTGTTGATGACAAAGAAAATCTAGAACAAGTTATGGCGTTGTAGCTTCTCAGGTTGCTGGACTTGTGAGCTGAGCACCCGCTGTACAATGATGCTCCTATAGGCCGCCATGGCCTCGTCACCAAGGACTTCGCCATCCTCCTCATCTGCATCTTGGTCTTCTTCATCCTCAATGTCAGAGGTGCTGATGTAACCATCTTCTGTAGCAATATATGCTCGCTGACTTGGGCAGTCCTTCTACACATGGCCAATGCCATGGCAGCGGTGGCACTGAATGCCCGAAGTGCATCCCATCGATGCAACGGAGGAGGCACTCTTGGTAGGCACCTGCAAAGAATTTTTACCTGAATCTGAAGGTCGTGCGGGAGGTGCCTTAGGTGTAGCGGAAACTCCTAAGGTTGCTGGTCGCTTGCTCGCTGGTGGTGGTGGCCGAAAAGTGGTTGGCTTGGTCAGCCCCGAAGATGGTGCTGAGCGTGGCGTGTATGTGGTGCTGACCTTGCTCTTGCTCTGCTGTTCATGCCCCTGTAATTCCTTTTCTCCAAGCATAGCAAACTGAAACAACTGGGTGACAGTGTTAAATTCTTTATAATCAACAATGTCCTGTATCTCACGCCTCAAACCCGAATAAAAACAACAAATGGCATCTTCATTCCCCTCCACAACACTACAGCGCAGCAATCCCTTTTGGAGCTCACCATAGTAATCCTATATAGATTTATCTCCTTGTTCTAAACGCATCAATTTCTTACGCAAGTCTCTATGATAAGGAGGAACAAAACGATCACGCATAGCTACCTTAAGTTCTTCCCACGTACCAGGTAAAGCATCCTATGCAGCTAGCCCATTCCACCAAATAATGGCAAAATCCTTAAACTCACTAGTAGCTTGTTGAACTCTATGATGCTCAGGCACAAGGTGGGCACTAAACTTTTGTTCTACTGTCATCTCCCAATCAAGATATCCCTCAGCATCATAATGACCCGAAAAAGATGGTATTGTGAACTTAATCTTAGCATAAGGATCATCGGACACACGGTGATTATTACCTTGATGGTGGTGGACACCACCCATACCTGTCGTGTTGTGGTGAAGACGTCGTCGTAATCTTGCTTGTCGAAAGGCTACTCGATCTATGTTCCTAGCAGCATCATGCACCGTGTCTTCTGGCAAGAGACCATTGGTGTTGCTGCCAAAGACATCATTGTTGTTGACTGCCACCAAGGTTTCCAACTTAGTAACCTTGTCGGTTAGCGTGGAAATTCATTTGTCCAATCTCTCCATGCTGTTGCCAATGTTGAGTTCAATGAGTGCGTCAGTGACAGCCTTCCTGACGGCCTCATTCATCCTTTTTTGGGCATCCTCTACAATAGCTTGTAGTTGCTCTTGGCTGACACACTCGTTGAAACCCTTAGGATTGTTGTCTCTAGTCTGATCACCTCCTGCCATTGTAAACACAAAAACAGGAACAAACGGTGAAAGTTATCCCTACCAAATGACTACGTGGTTGCAGTGGTGTCACTTTTCATAGCAAGTGGAAGCGTCTTACCAAGCTCTTACAAAGCTCTTACCAACGCAAGCAGTGGGCGGTACAACTGGCGGCTGGTTCATGATACCTGTGAGGCAGTGGTACCAAGATTGCAAGGCCCTTTTTCTGTACTGATCTAAAGAGTTTGTGGAGCTTGGAAGGCACACAAAGAATAACATGTATATCTGGCACACAAGTTAGTAACAGAAAGTAATGCTGAATTATAGTCCAAAGTACTTGTTCTCGTTGCTGGTCTAAAATGTTCCAAGTACCAGGTGTGTGACAAAAGTATGGTGGATAGCAAGGTGACAGGTGTGTGAAAAACTAGTATGGTGGATAGCAATAGCAACACAAACAAGGAACCAGACAGCACACGCAAACACAACTCACTTTGGCCTTCTCTATGTGCTCCTCTAGATATTGTTCCTCTTTTGCCCCTCTCTTTTTCTAATTTTTTGGGCTGTCGTTGTTTTTTTCGTAAATTTCAACTTTTTCTTTTTATTTTTTGATATTTTTCCTTTACTTAGGAGCACAAAAGAAGTAACCACAAAAAATATGAGCTTAAACAAGTGAAAGACGTGTCCTGTGGAAAATTCAGAAAACTTGCTCAAAATCGACAAAAACCTTGTGACCACGAAAACAGGATCTTGTGACCACTTTTTGACCAATTTAAAATTTTCCAACCCCGACATGTCAGGGGATAGATGGATCCGATTTTTTTTCTGATCAATTTTGATATATGGAACGTCGAAACCAGAGTTTGTATGTGAAAACTAGACCAGTTTTAAGAATTGGCTCCAAATTAGAGGACAAAACAGGAACAGTGTGCACAAAATTGGTCACAGCAGCAAAGATTTGATGGAAACGATGGGGGAAAACACACGAACTGGACTCTAACACGACCTAACCAGCAACAAGACCTCGACCAGGACACAAACTCAACACAACGGACTCTAAAACTGAAATATGCAAAGGCTATGGCACGAAAGGTTCTAGGACAGGAAAAAATATGGCACTGGACTATGGGACGAATGCGAAACACTCAAAACTAGGGGATAAATGTGAACCTGATGGTATACCTTAGCTCTGATTACCACTTAATGGGAAACGGGGATCCTGATCTTCCGTCAGGTAGAGGTAACTATCGTTGTGGCAGAGAATGACACACCGATCCGGCTTCAGATCAAAAGATCGAACCCTGCAATCTTAGCACCACAGCTCCTCTGGTTATCAACCAAGTCATGGACCAGGTTGACCTCGCCAAGAAGGCTAATCCCTGCCTGCAAAACGAAGAACACAAGCAAGAACAAGAAAGAACACAACCAAATTGTAGATAAATGATTAATCTCACGAAGTTGGGGTCTCACAATCCGATGAACGGAGAAACTATTCTTGACAGAATAATCTAAGCAAAACGCAAACCCTAATGGAGGGTTGGCGGCTGTTTATGAAGACTCTAGCAAAACCCAAACCCTAATGGAGGGTTCGCAGCACCCTGGCAGATTCTGGACACTGACTTATGACCACGATTCCCATTGATTCCGAACAGATTTTGATGTGAGACCACTTGAATTGGCTTCCTTATCAAATTAGCTTTCCATCCATATGTGGATCGTCGAAAACGGAGTCCGGATGCGTCTTGGGTGACCAGTTTAAGGCAGACTGGTCCTGGAGGCCGAGGCAGACTCGAAATCATGTTGGACCAGGCCTCCGGTTCCTGTTGGACGTCATTGCTAGTCATCAATGCCTCCACCTCTTCCTCTAAGTCCCTCATGACCCTCTCCAATGTTCCTAATCAATATAACATCATTAGGTAGCAATCTATTCTCAAAATTATGAAAAGGATCACTTAAGAACGAGCTCACCTCTAAATTAAGTTGTCGCCTTCGAGCTCGGGTCATTGGACCTTGCATAATGGTTGGAGGATCAGCAGGTGCATCTGAAGGAATGATGTCCTCATCATATTGTAACATATTCAGATTAGGAAACAAATATTTGTTTCGCCTATATATGTGGGACACGGATTATTATAGAATCACACAAACATGACACATTGTAAAATCACATAAACCACAAATTTCAATAATCATAACAAGATCCACATATAGTAGAATGATTTCAAACATAGTGCTTTTCAGATTAAATCATAGTATTTGTACAGAACGATATGGCTCTAGAGAGCAAACACACATAGTCCATACTAGAAAGAAAAATTCAAGAACTAGCTAGGATTCATAAAGTCCATTGCTTCTTCTTCCATTATTCTTTGTACACATCGATGTAGGAATTCAACCATTAATCATTTGAACCTGCAAAGAAAATGTAAGTTGTAAGATTACAAATTAGGCCACATATGTACAATGATGTAAGTTAAGAAAGCTAGTTTGAACATACAAACATCAAAGGCCAAGCAATTGAGACTCCTTTGGCTTGAGCATCACCAATATTGTTGCACCCAGGCCTAGGCCTCACTAATGGCTCATCTTTTGCTATAGCATGATCGATACGCACTTTGTAGAATTGACTTCTTGTCTTAACTCCAACAATGGCTTCTGGATCAGTGCTCAAGAGAGTTGCATAGGCCACATTAGCCTTATTAGGCTATTTTGAAGTCATTAGTAGCACCATGGACCCAACCTACATTAATTTGACATAATCTCTTAGTGACGAACAACCCTTAGTTGTACATCAAGATCATGCAATTAGAACAAGTGTATTATGTTCATCTACCTTCATTACAGGAAGTTGTTTAGGTGCTTGACGCTTGTTACATGTAACCTTGTCATGAGCCACCTCCTGGTGTGCAATGGTCATAGTCTCTCCAGACCCTCCATGATGACCCTTACACATATAAAATGAAGTATGAAATATTAAGACAAAAATTCCTCTATAAATACAGCAAAGTGTGGTTCATAGATACCTTTTGTTTCTTTGTTGTTTTACTTGTGGTGGATAAAAGTAGACTATCATCATCACTATATTCAGACTCACATGTTTCTTTATTCTAGTAAAGAGAAAAAAGATAGTAGCATGAGTTAATATAAAAAAATCCTTTGTGAATAAAATAGTATTAAATTCATAAGAAAGTGACTTTACCAATTCATCCCTGTGTTCAAGGAATCCATCATTCTGGTTGGGTGCAACATAGTGAACTCTCTAAAAATTTGAAACAATATTAAAGCCAAAAGACTAAATTAGGTGAAAACATGGAAAATAGAGCAAATACCTTTCTTTTAGAAAGCACCGCTTGATTCTGAGAATTGTTATGATCACTCCTAGCAAAATTTCCCTAGAAAGGAAATAAAGTTTGAGTAACACATTTCAATACAAAGTTACAAATTAAAATGTACATTGTTACCACTATTGCTTCTTGGTTCTCATGGTGCCTTTGATTGTTTTTTAGTTCTTCAATAACTTTGTCTTGCATTCTAGAATGCTCTTTGAGTTGCCTTATTTCCTCCAACATGTGAGTCTCTACATCAGATGATGAGCCATCTAGTGAAGCTATATTAATGTCCTTAAAATGGTGTGTTCTTCGACCATAAACTTGTTTAGGAACTGGAAGCAATCCCATGTCGTGCATTTGTCCAGCTTTCTCTTCTCCCAACACCCGATGTAATGCATCACCTTCAAATGCAACTCCTCCCTCACTATTTTGTGCTAACTCTGGTTGTGTGTCTAGGAGATTTTCCAGTTCAACCTACAAGCAAGAAATCCACACATTAGAAAACAGAAATAATTTTATATTTGCAAAAATTCTCAAGTGCATGTAGCATACCACTAGTTCATTTATCCCTTTTCCCCTTTTCCTGTGAGTTGCGAGGTAAACCTTTGCTCCATGTGGCTGTTTTTTTTCAGGATTAGTTTGCCTTTGAAAAAATAGCAGTAAAGGAAAAGTAAGAAGAATCATATATATTTTTTTAAACAGAAGATGACTCACCATGTCCTCAAACCAACGAGCATAACTCTTTGTACCGGTTGTATGTGTTGTCTTCTTCATTTCACAACTTATTTTGTTCTTCTCACTTAGGGTCTACAAGAAAAGTAAATTAATAGATAATGAACCATTATACATATAAGAATCAATAATGGTATAGATAGTGATAGTAAAAAAAGCCAAATAGCATCAATAATGGTGCCTTACATGTCCTTCGCTGGACTTCCAATATTTTACTAGGGCCTTCCATTGATCTTCATCGATATCATCTGGACAACGCTTGTTCAAAATAGACTTTTTCTTCTTTGGATTAAATAGTGACTTTTTTAATGTTGCCTTGTATTTTCTCCAATCTTGTAGCACCCAGTTTTAAGGACAAAACCAGATACACACCATATGTGAGCCCAGAAAGTCAAATCTCACATATAGCTACAAATAAGGGTAATATCGAAAGACAATGCTCAATATATAACATACTTAGTATAAAGAATATAACGTTAGATAGCAAACAGCAGAAAGACAACTCTGATCTTTGGGTGAAGACTCCAAATCCACAGGGACAACTAACTGGTTGATCACAAGCCTAATTCCTCCAAACTCTAGCAATCTGGTACCCATCCGGGAATTTTTAACCAAATAATTGAAAAATAAAGCAAGTGTAAGTACATGTCGTACTCAACAAATATAATATGGGGTTCATGAGGCTCAAAAGGCTGACACTGGTTCAATTGCGATTAGCTTTTAATGAGTCATCTTTTAGCAATTGGGTGGCAACAAGTTTATCACAAGCCCATAAACACATGATCAGGTAAACATGAATAATGAATAGCATAAACGGTAATCATAAGTGAACATCTTCATCATCAGTATCATCTGTGTTCATCCTCTATTCCGTAAGGGTTCCAAGGCCGCTCGTGACCGTGAGCATGGCTGATATACCAGGTTTACACTCTACAGAAGTTGTACACTTTCACTGTGTCATGATTTACCCTTTTGCCCGAGGTCGTGAGCCTCTTAACCCACTATCAAGGAAGATCGGTAGGGTTCACTATGAAGCCTTTCAAAGGTTCGTCTAACAAGTTAGGGCCATTAGATTCACTCGACAAACAGATATAGGAACCCCCTGTCAAATGGCACAATTCCCTCACGGCGATACACATAAGAGTAGAGGCTATCCTATACCTGATTTGTCAAGACATTCTTATGCCAATAAAGGTAACCTCTAACAAGCTAGAATAGGTCCTCATACTGAGCTAAAGACAGAGCCATATAGCCCTCACAGTTGTACTGTAAGTCATGGATGATCACTTACAGATAGGTCTTTAGGGAGAGGAATCTAGAGCACCATAAAATAGCCCGATGCTCTAGCCCCCTTGTTCCATGTTGCAAAAAAACATCTTTTAGTGTTTATTGCATATACCATTAATCAAGTTACAAGATCATGGTCTTTAGTTGAGCGCTAGCATCATACATCCCAATGCAATACCCCATAGGTATCAAGGTACAAGGTAATAAAGTATTAGGAAATCCTTAGTGGCAGTCAAGGTAGACACATGCAGCATGAATTAAATGATTAAAGGTGTATAGGACAACAAGGAAGATCCCATGCTATACTTGCCTTAAACACCGATCCATCGATAAGCTTTAATGTTCAACGTGCTTCTTCTTCTTCTTGATCACCACGTATATCTCACCGACTGGATGAAATCATAAAGCACCACACAAGCATCCATACAATCATACACGAAGCAAACAATAGAACTAAATCAGAATAGAACACCAATCATAGAAAAAAAGTGAAAGAGTTTGAAATACGATTCTACGCATCGCTACGAACACACAGACGCGAGAGGCGCGCTAATCGGAGCTACGGTTAAAAAGATACATCTACCGATATATTTGCTTTATACGTGGAAAATAAAACTATAGGCTTCATTTATTTTAACTATATAGAAGCTTATATAAATTGAATTAAATCAAATTTAGAGTTGAATTATAAAACTAAAGTAAAACAAATCATATTTTATCTATAAAATCCGGTTGCATAATTATTATTCAAATGAAATTCCAGAAATAGTGACATGGTAACCACTGTTACTAACACGTAGAACTCGTTGCTATGAATCTAATTCAACTTGAATGGGTCAAAACGGAGCTAAAACGCAGAAGATATGGAATAAACAAGATTTCTTTTATTAAAATAATAGATTAAATCTAACCTCGAATTTTAAAAGTTGAAAACATATCTAACAGTAGTATGAACATGTAGATTATGAAATTACGAACCTAACGCAATTTGAACGTGTCAAATCAGAGTTAAAACAGAGAAGTTATGGCCTAAACAAATATAGTGGCAAAACTATAAATAGCTGAAAATGTATTTTCAATCTAACCAAAACAAAGTACGCTTTCAAAAGAAGAAAACAAAATCGGGAAAGGCGCTAGGGACCGTGAGTTATATTATTGAAAAGCGCAGGGACTCTTTAGCAAAATCGATTGGTGAAGGGGTACGGAAAATCTTGGGACGTTGGATCAGGAATAGACGGCTGAGATGAGAAGATGGGGAGGAAGAAAAGATGCCGGCGCTAGAACAGTAAGGGCGACGTGGTGGCTGCCATTGCCGACGACGGAGCACGTCGGTGAGACCCAGAACATGGCCTACGGTTCACAGTTTTCAACGGGAAAGCCACGGGGTGAAAGAGGAGGTTGAGGCGAGCTCACCTAGGGGGATTTCGGCGGTGCTAAGCAAGTGGAGGTGTCCCTGGTGGCATCGAGCTTCACACAGCGAGATCCAGCGATGGTGCTATGACTCAGTATGGGTGGCGGCTAGCGCTCTCGGGTTCAGGGAAAGCGGCGCGGGTGCTCGGCTTATATGATGCAAGGCGGCGTGGCACGCAAGACAACGAATCATGAAATGGCACGAGCGTGGACTCACCGACGGCGGAGTCCGTCTCGGGTATGAGCGGAAGGACAGGGACGGAACTGATAGGGATGGCCCACCTTTCGGCGAGTGCAGGAGCAGGACCGGCTTGTCGGGTAGAGAGAAGAGAAGGGAGCGGCGGGCGATGCTGGCGGCTTTGGCTGCTGTGGCTGGGCCATGGATTGGGCCACTCGGCTGAAAGGGAGGGAGCGCTGGTTGGGCTGGCGTGCGCGTCTGGGCTGCGGGAAGAAAAGAGAAGCAGGCCAGGGAGAGAAGAGAGTGTGGGCTGCGGCCAACTCGGCCCACGTGGGTGAGAGAGGGTTGGAGGCGAGCGGGCTATGGCCTTTGGCCAACAGGCCAAATAGAGGGAGAGCAGGGCAGGCCTTCATGCCAGATTAAAGAGAGAATTTTTTCCAATTTCGAAATCTTGTTCTATTTCCCAAATTCAAATGTAAAACAAATTCAAATCCAAATGGGGTTTCAAACACACTTTTCAATTCAAACAAAATGAGGAATTTTGGTAAGTTTTCCAAAAATAAATTCTTACAACTTTTTAAATTCTTTTATTTTCAAATTTTCTTTTCTTTTACTTCAAAGCCAACTTCAAAAACTTTTTGCCATTTTTTCAATTTGAATCAAATCCACACAATACAAAGAAACAAATGCACCAGCATGTATGCACATCCATGTTGCTAGCTTATGATGAATTTTAATTTAATGAAAAAAATTATTTTCCTATATTTCATGTGCACAAAAATTCACAAATAATTCATTTTAATCCTATTTTCAAAAGAGGCAAATTTTAGGGTGTTACAATTCTACCCCCTTAAGATGAATCTCATCCCGAGATTCGAAAGACGTTGACTAAGAGATAGGGATACCTCATCTTTGAATACTTTGTTATTTCCTCGTGTAGTTCCATCGTCTTGATAAGGATCCCACTTTACTTTGCATATGTGTTGACCTTACTCCAAATAACTTACCAAAATGATTCCAAGATTTTGACAGATACTCCAAACAATACTCAGGTAACTCCAATCACTAGGCCACCTTTCTTTTTTTTGTCCATAATATCAATTCTTTTTCTTAAAATATTCACCTTACAACGGAACCTTACGAATCCCTTGACCAGAAGGAGAATCTACCACCAATCCTCAAAACATTAATGGTTCTAGCCAGGTTGCATAAACTTGGAATATAATTCTTAGTCCTTGGTGTCACCCGAACCTTCCTAGCACAACTCTCCATTGCTAAGGGCATCGGCCACGACTTTGTTCCTCAAAGTGATAGCACTTTTCCAAGTCATAACCAATTTCATTCCAATGAAGATATCACAAGCTCAAGACCAACTTGGTGAAGATGTCCTGTAGATTCTTGTGATCCTCCTAGATGTCACTCTTACTTCCAAGAAGATATTACTACCATGCTCCACAATGGATAACTCCAGATAACATGTTAGGTAGTTTAACTCACGCTTCCTTAGCTGACTTAATGAACAAGCCACTACCTTTCCTTTCGTATAAGGACACATCCCACACCTTCACAAGATGCATTATTGTAGATACAAAGCTCTTGTCCTGATCTGACAAAGCTAATACTTAGGTTTTACTTCGACCTCTTGGACTCCTTCAAACACTTAGCTGAGGTCTCTTGATCCAAACGAATTTAGTAATATTTCTCAATACCATTATAACCATCTTCTAATGATCTTTGAAAAACCTTCAATGAACCTCGGATAGAATCTTACTATTCCAAGGAACTCTGAGACACTCTTACATGCTTAGGTGGGTTACAACCAAACTCATCTTTAACTTTCGCGAGTTCTTCTTCCATTAAAAATAACATATCCCAAGAAGAGATCTTCCAAAAATGCACCTACTAACTTGGTGAAACATTGAGATGCTCTGAATCTCCCTTAAATCAATTGTAGATGTCCAATATCTCCTTCCTTTGTCAACCATACAAACCTATCCTAGGTATGCTGAAGATTAAACTCCCAATTGATAATAGCTTGAAGAGAAAATCCATTCTTGATGAATACATCAGTTCCTTGTAGACAACCCAACAAATTATCCATCTGCATTGGATGGTGATCTCTCATCTAGAGGCATAACCTATACATCCAAGTGAAACACCAGAACATATGAAACCTTTGTCTTCCAACTTCTTTAGCTTG